TTTGCAGTCCAAGTTGAGTCAAAAAATAGGACAAAACTGAAATTCACCATCAAATGCTGGAATTTTGCATATCAACCCTCAAACTACTCATCAAAATTAGAAATTCATCTTTTGAAGCTTAAAAATCACAATCATGCTACTAATCACCTCATAAATCAAAACGCAATACCAACATATTAGAGATAAACATCATAAATCAAAGTTGAAAAATCACAAACCCTAGTTGAAATTCGCTAATCTTCACCAAAACTAAAGTATCATCCAACATAATTCAAGATTCAAGGCATCTATCCCATACTTTGCTAAAATAAGAAAGGAAAAGGGAGTTTTAGACTTATACCCTCCAAAACATTTGAAGAAAGTGAAGAACCAAGCTATTTCTCTCCAAACAACTCTATAACAAGCTTCCTTAACTCCTTGGTGCTAGTTTAATCGGTGTAGTTTTGTGGTTTCAATTCAAACAAGGCAAGATTCAAAGTTGGAGTTGAAGGTTTTCTCTCTTGTTTTTCTCTCCTAATTTTCTGCCAACACAATAAGAAAATGAAGAAAAATGAACCAAAAAAAAAGATAAGAAGAAAGAAAACTTATTTGGTCAACCAACCCTTAGATCTTTGACACTTGTCAAAGCCAAGCTTTCTCTCTCTCTTTTTTTTTTCTTTCCTTTTCCTTAGTCAACAAATATGGCTGGATTAAGGGGTAATTTAGGAAGGATTAGGTGAAATAAAAATAAGAAGATTAGGGTAAGAAAGTATTGGTCAAGTGGAGTACTCAACCGGTAACAAACGGTGCACGTTGGTTCAAGCCTATTTTCCTTAACTCTCGCGTACTTGTGTTTTAACTTATAATTCACTAACTTATTAATAGTACTTCTAATCATACACTTTCTCTTATAGAAAACTCACTCTTAATCACCAAATTTATTACACACACCTCACCAAGTCATTATACGGCCAAAATGCACAAAAAACAGGCCAAAAATCCTAGTATGAACTATTCCTTTAGAAAACTCATAATTTGAATTATAAATATCAAAAATTCATATAACTTAGCCTGTTAAAAACTAGACTTCAAATACTAATAACCTTTGGAAGACACGTCAAAGAGATTCAATTCATAAGTTGGCCCAAATTGAGCCCTAAGCTACTACAACATTCCTATTTTTACTTTGCAGGGCAGAATTTTCAGTCAACTTTGCCAATTTTCTGGAATTTATAGAGATTGACTCAAACTCTAAATTTTATACCGTAAGAAACTCTATGAGTCTAATTTCAAACGCAAAAAACAGAACTCAATTCTGACTTTTCTATATGAAGTTATAGCCAATTTCCCAAAACTGCGCAGAGCCTCCTATGAAAATTTTTAGATTTTCTAACAACTTGAGATTATGAAATTTTTCTTAACAAAATTCACTTCCTTGACTCAAATTCAACCATTAAAATAATTAAGAATTTAAGGCAAGTAAGTTCAAATAAGAGCTATAAAAACAAGTAAAATTTCGGGGTCTCACACGATAGCACTAAGGGGGAGGAGGATGAGGCGGCTGTGTGCGCGAGGAGGAAATGAGCAGTGGCGGAAGGTGGTGATCGCGCGGGAAAGAGAGTCGGGGGTGAGTGGCAGTGGCAGCGGCGTGCAGCGATATGTGTGGAGGCGGCAGTTGAGTAGCGACGATGGTGGCGGAGGTTGAAGTTAAGATGTGTGAAGACCAGGGAAGACCAAAAAGAGAAAAGGAATAGAAAAGAAAAAAAAATTAGAAAAATAGGGTTGCGAGTGAGTTACTGGTTGCATTGGTTGGAAGGTGTGGGCACGCTTACGAAGCGTAAGTCGTCTACCTTCCTCGTTGTGACAGGCCAATGCGAGCCGCTGTGCGGCGTGGGCATGCTTTGGAAGCGTAAGTCCTCTGTTCATCACTCTTTAAAAACGCCCATGTGCACTTGACACAAGGCGTGGGCACACCTTGGAACGGAAAGTCTTCTGCCCACGAATTTGTGCCTCTATCCCAAAATAAAACTGCTCAGAACACACCCATGATCGACAATAAGGATTTGCTGTCAATAGGAACCCAAAACAACCTGATCTTGAACACACACAAATATAAACTAAAACACAAAAATAACAAAAAATTGAAACTCTTGGATTGCCTTTCAAGGAGTGCCTCTATTTAACGTCTGTGGCCAGACCAAAAGTATTTTAACAAATTAATTAGAACCGGGGTCGAGCAGCTGGACCTCCTCCACAGTGCTAATTTCTGAAACATCTATAAACGATTTGAGACTATGACCATTAACTTTAAAACTTTTGTTAGTCTCAAAACTTCTAATTTCAACTGCACCATTGGAAAAAACGTTGACAACAACATAAGATCCAATCCATCGGGAACGCAAATTACCTGGCATGAATTTCAATTGAGAGTTGAATAGAAGTACCTTTTGACCTATCAAGAATTGCTTATTACGCAATAGTCTATCATGGATGGACTTTGTGCGTTCTTTGTAAAGTTGGGCATTATCGTAAGTCTCCAAGCAGATTTCTTCCAACTCTTGAAGTTGGAGTTTCCTTTCCGTGCCATCTCTATCCGCGTTCAAATTACACTGCTTAACTGCCCAAAACGCACGGTGCTCAATTGCAACAGTTAAATTACACATCTTACCATAAACCAACCGGTATGGAGACATTCCGATTGGTGTTTTATACGCCGTGCAATATGCCCACAAGGCATCATCCAATCGGGTACTCCAATCCTTGTAATTTGTGTTGACTGTTTTCTCCAAAATACTTTTGACCTCTCGATTAGAGACCTCAATTTGCCCGTTGATCTGCGGGTGGTAGGTAGTATCGACTCTATGGTAAATTCTATACTTACGCATCAGTGCTTCAATGGTGCGATTGCAGAAATGAGTATCTTGATCACTGATAATCTCTCTTGGCACACCAAACCTGCTAAAAACGTTGGATTTAAGAAATCTTGCTATAACTCGTGAATCATTAGTTCGGGTAGCCTTTGCTTCTACCCATTTCGACACATAGTCTATGGCTAACAGAATATAAAGACAACCAAAAGAACTGGAAAATGGTCCCATGAAATTCATACTTCAGACATAAAAAATTTCACAAAATAACATGGGAACCTGGGGCATTTCATCTCGGTGAGATAAACTCCCAAACTTTTGACATTTTTCACATCTTTTACAGAACAAATAAGTATTACGAAACAAGTTTTGCCAATAAAAGCCACAATCAAGTATTTTTCACGCAGTTCTTTTAGGATCAAAGTGACCACCACAGGCATAACTATGACAATGAATAAATATGGAAGGAATCTCTTCATTGGGAACACATCAACGAATGATTTGGTCAGAACCTATTTTTCATAAATAGGGCTCATCCCAAATGTAATATCGCGAGTCTTGTATTATTTTATCCCTTTTATTCTTACTCATACCTTGAAAATTTGTGACTGACCAGAAAGTTAACAATATCAACATACCAAGGTTCCTCACCTCTAAGTTGAAACAAATGTTCGTCTGGAAATATCTCGGATATGGGCACTCGCTCTTCTTCTCAAATCAATCAGTTCAAATGGTCTGCTACTGAATTATCCACCCCTTTTTGATTTTTGATTTCCCAGTTATATTCTTGCAATAGGAGTATCCAACGAATAAGTCTTGGTTTGGACTCCTTCTTTGCCAAAAGATATTTCAAGGCTACATGATTAGAGAAAACTGTTACTTTCGATCCCAACAAATACGATTGAAACTTCTCAAAAGCAAAAACAATCGCTAAAAATTCCTTCTCGGTGGTGGTGTAGTTGCATTGAGCCGACGACAACGTTTTTGAAGCATAATAAATGACATGGCTACACTTCCCACTTCTCCAACCGAACACAGCTCCTACTACATACTGACTAGCATCACACATCAGTTTGAAAGACAAGTTCCAATCCGGAAGTTGAATGATTGGTGCCGTGGTCAACATGCTTTTTAGTGTATCAAAGGACACTTTGCAAGCATCTCCAAAATCAAATGGTGCCTCATTTTGAAGTAGTCGAGACAATGGCTGTGCAATTCGCGAGAAATTCTTGATGAATCGTTTGTAGAAACCTGCGTGACCAAGAAAACTACGAATCTCCTTGACATTAGTGGGGTAAGGCAAGCTAGTAATTAAATCAACATTTGCTTTATCAATTTCGATACCCCTAGACGAAACAACATGGTCAAAAACTATACCCTCCTTAACCATAAAATGACATTTTTCATAATTAAGGACCAAATTTGTTTCAATGCATTGCTGCAAAACTTTTGCTAAATGCTGCAAGTATTGATCAAAAGAATCACCATAAATAGTGAAATCATCCATGAATATTTCAATACAGTTTTCAATCATGTCAGAAAAAATACTCATCATGCATTTTTGAAACGTTCCAGGGGTATTACACAACCCAAAAGGCATACGGCGGTAAGCAAAAGTGCCAAACGGGTAAGTGAATGTGGTTTTGTGCTGGTCCTCTTGGGCAACAACAATTTGATAATACCCAGAGTAGCCATCAAGAAAGCAAAAGAAACATTTACCTACCATCCTCTCGAACATCTCATCGATGAACGGTAATGGGAAATGATCTTTTCTTGTGGGTGCATTCAACTTCCTGAAGTCAATACACATTCTTCACCCATTTTGGAGTTTCATTGGCACCAACTCATTCTTTTCATTCTGCGCAAGTGTAATTCCGGTCTTTTTAGGGACGACACGCACTGGACTTACCCACTCATTACCGAAGATAAGAAAAATAATTCCTAACTCCAATAGTTTGAGAATCTCCTTCATTACCACCTCTTTCATGGCTGGGTTAAGTTTCCTCTGACGTTTCCTTACCGGTTGGCTCAAGTAGAATATGGTGCATGCAAAGGGATGGATTTATACCTTTAATATCTGCCAACATCCATCCAATTGCCGGTTTAAACTCCTGCAAAACTCGTAAAAGTTTTTCTTCTTGTACTGCTGTTAGATCACTTGCAATGATGACCGATAGTGTCATGATCTCCTAGGTAAGCATACTTTAAATGCTTTGGCAATTCTTTCAATTCCAACTCCAGTGCCTGTCCAATAGAGGGCAGAATTCTCTCATTAGAAGTAGGCAATGGTAAATATGAGTCGACTAACTTGTCAGGAGGTTCCGGAAGTGAATGTAGCGACATAATTACTTCGCTAGTCTCCTCCTCATCCACGCTTTCCACTTTCGTATTCATCTTGCTCTGTTGTAACACGAAATCCAGCTTATCCTCTATAAGATTCTACTCAAAATGATCTTGCACAATGGAATTAGTGATACCAACATAATTAACTGATTCAGTATTATCCGGGTATTTCATTGCATAAAAAATGTTAAAAGTAACTGTCTTCCCGTCAAATTCTACTGATAGGGTTACTTCATGCACATCTATTTTTGTTCTGGCAGTACTTATGAATGATCTACCCAGAAGAAGTACAGCTGAATTAGCAGAGTTATCATCATTCATGTCAACAATATAGAAATCCGCAGGAAAGATAAACTCATTAATTTTCACCAGGACGTCTTCAACAACACCCTCAGGGTAAACATTTGACCTATCTGCTAGTTGAATTATTACCCTTGTGTCTTTTAGAGGTCCTAAGTTTAAGGCCCTGAATATTGTCAAAGGCATAATATTAATAGATGCCCCTAGGTCAAGCATACGTCTTTCTATTCTCTTCTGCCTTATGATGCATGCTACCGTGAACATACCTGGATCCTTGCATTTTTGCGGTAACTTCCTTTGAAGAACTGCTGATACATTTTCATCGACCTTTATTTTGTCTTGAACATTCAACTTGTGCCGGTTAGTACACAACCCCTTCAGAAACTTTATATATTTTGGTAATTGCCGAATCGCTTCAAGCAAAGGAATGTTGATTTTCACTTTTCGAAAGGTGTCCAAAATCTCCTTCTCTGACTCCTCTTTCTTGGCTTTAGCCAACTTGTCAGGAAAAGATGGGTTAATTTCAACAATTTTAGGAACATCTAGTGGGGTGCTTACTTTTTCCTTCTCAAGCTCCCCATACACTTGTTCGTCTTCCACTCCTACTGCTTCCGATTTTGGGGATTGCACCTCCTTGCCACTTTGTAGAAGCATTGCACTGGCATTCTTCTTTGGATTGGGAATTACCTGAGATGGTAGCTTCCCTTTACCATTCTCAGCTACTTATTGAAGACGCCAGTTGTGACATTTGCGCCTCCAAATTCCGAATATTGGAGCGAGTCTCTTGTCGAAATCTCTGTGAGTCTTGCAGCATTTGACACGTGGTATTTGCTAGTGATTTGACCATATCTTCAAAGGTCATCCCTGAATCAGACGCGGATGGTTGCTGAACTGGTGGTCTCTGCTGGAATGGTTGTTGAAAACCCGAGAGTTTTGGAGCATAGCTGAAATTGGGGTGGTTCCCCCACCCTGGGTTATATGTGGATGCATACGAGTCATTTCTCCTTTGGGGTGGTCCAGGCAGACCTCCTATGGCGCTGGCTTGCTCGTAAGGGTCTTCTTGAAAGGTCGGGTACATATCGGTCACGTGCTCAGGAGCAGCACATATTCCATATGCTTTAGCTGCCTATACTTGTCCCATAGCCGTTTGATGAACCAAGGTAGTAAACTCCGTTAATCAATTTGTGAGGTCCGAATGATTTACCTCATTAACCCTTCTAGTCACTCCCTCAGATCTGACTCCAAACTTTTGGGAGTTCTCAGCTATGTTCAAAATCAGCCGTTTGGCTTCATCTGTTGTCTTATTTACTAAAATACCGCCACTCGCTGCATCGACCATGTTTCTATCCATGGGTAACAGTCCCTTGTAAAAATACTTGATCAATAGTTGGTCAGGGATCTGATGGTGCGGGCAGCTGGCACACAGCTGTTTGAATCGCTCCCAGTATTCATAGAGAATTTCTCCATTGGCCTGCCTAACTCCACATATTTCCTTTCTGATGTTGGCGGTCTTGGAGGTTGGGAAAAACTTCTCAAGGAACTGCCATTTCAGTCCTTCCCAAGTAGTAATAGACCCTGATAGCATGTAAAACAACCAGTCCTCCTTGTCTGCTAAGGAAAAAGGAAAAGCACGTAGCTTGATTTGTTCTTCCGTAACACCCTGAGGTTTCATGGTTGAGCACACTACATGGAATTCCTTCAAATATTTGTGTAGGTCCTCACCTGCAACACCATGAAAAGTAGGCAATAAGTAAATCAACCCAAATTTTAATTCAAAAGCCTCCTCACTGTTAGGATACGTAATGCACAGAGGTTGTTAATTAACATTCGGGGTTGCAAGTCCCCTCAAAGTTCTTTGAGCTGCCATTGTTTCGTTGGGTCCAGTCAAGTTTGTTTTCAATTCAATCGATGAATCACTTAAGTTAGAATTTTATTCAAGTCCGGAGGGTAATGCCGCTGAAGCTTGGTGCTCTTGGAACTTAGTTTTCTTCGTCAGCCTCCTTGCCATTTTCTCGATTTCTGGGTCAAATTTGAGTCTTCCTGTACTGGAAAATTGAGGCATAAAACATAGTCTAAACAAAGCCTGTGTAATAAATCACTTCAAACACTAGGTCCCCGGTAACGATGCCAAAATTTGGTGGCTGTCAAATTACCAAAAATAAAATTTATATCAATACCTACTCTCAAAACTAAATGAGTATAGTGGTGAGTAGAGTCCTCTCCTCAGAGAACTTGCAGATTTATTACACAGATAATTTGGGGGGGGGGTTTTAGGAAAGGAGATATAAAGAACAAATTAAAGATGTAAGGGTACTGAATTTCCACTTCACAAATAGTGCAACAGCTAAAGGATATAATAAACAATTAATTGACCCAACCTAATCAACGAAATAATTTTGGCATCAGCTCACACAATTGATCATAGATACCTGGATTAATTCACCCGTTCGTAAGTAAATTGGTTCTAGCAATTCAGTAACCGCCAAACTACCAATCTCTCCTTAGTTATATGGTAGTCCAGAGACGCTCTTAAACTAATCCCTTGTAAAATAGATAACCCCAGAGATGCTCGTAGGATTTAATCTATTCACAACTTTAGGAATTAGAGAGACCCAATTCTAGCTAACAAACACATATACGGGTTTATTTAAATTAGATTAACTATTCCTACAACACAGATTAAATTACTTGCGAGGCAATTAAATTGTGCTGTTTGCCACAAATTTTAAGACAATCAAGTGATACGCACCATCGTCCTAATTGGCAGAATACGATTCAGACAATTGAACAACTGGCCACATTAATCTAATAAATCCAAACAATAATACCCATTAAAACAAAGAATAATTAAATACCAACTAACGCAGAATTTAAAATAGCATAGAATAATTAAAAAGATCTCACAATTGTCCATGCACCGGGTCTTGATTATTCCTCAACTAGATAAAGGAACCTAGCCTTGCCTCATAACGATGATGCAATCCCAGGCTTTAATGTGCTTTAGTTGATGAAAAAATAAAGAATACAGCCGCTAATCTCTAACTCACGTTTAGAAGGGAAGAAAAGATGGATAACTGCTAGTCTCTTGCTACCCTACTTAAAGTTGTCTGCCGTCCCCACTTGTTTTGCCAATCACATATCTTTATCTATAAGGGATATCTTCCCTTATTTTCCCCTTGATTTGTTACCAAAATATCCTCTGAAGATGTCTCCTAATCCAACACAACTTCAAAACACCTCCCAAGAATCGTGGCAAGCGTCCAGGGATAAGCCCCGCGGTCCATTTTTTTGGATGTCACTCTGCGGCCTCTGGCGTGGGCACGCTCTGGAATGAATAGTCCTCTGGAAATTCGCCTCTTTTCACCACTTTTGATACCAATCGCCTACAACTGGCACAAATACCAGTTATGAGCGGAAACCCATTACTTTGCATAATAAGTGGCCAAAATTAAGAGCAAATACCATCAAATAAAACGCACAATTGTCTCACTATCACTTGTTCAAAATCCCCCAGTAATTCTTACTCTAAAAGAAATAAAATTTTTTCCAATCCTTGTGGAGACGATCCTACTCACTGCTATATGCAAATTTAAAATTTTTTGAGTGGGCATTTTATTATTGTGCAGGTTCGATACCTGTCAGTCACTATGAATTTGGTTGACAATCTGGGGACAGATTCTACTTCCTGCTTGACTTGATTATGTGCTCTATTTTTTACTAAAGCTTCTATAGTCAATCTGGTCAAATAATCTGGTCCAGCTCACCTCAATCCATAACCGGATTGCTCTTGATCTTCCACATTTAATGCTTCACTATTTTCCTTTTGCGTCGCGCATCCTTTTCCAATCATGCTTCGAGTCTCCTTAAATTCTTTAATACTCCCCAATTAGCTCCATATTGAGACTTGATCATTCACCTTACAAAAACATCAAGAATTTGTGAGTAAAATGGCACAATCACAAACATTTCCTATTATCCACCTAATGCACAACTTCAATGCAAAATAAGCTCTAAAAACAATAACACTTCCCCATTTGACTCAAAAACAATATGAAACATCCACAAAAATAATCACAATATTAACCCTTATCAGTTCCCACCGAAATTTGATAAAAAAAAAATGGGTCAAGAAGGATGTGTGAACAAGCTCCAAGTTGCCCTGCAACATGCACAACAAAATATGAAAATGAGGGTAGAGTCCATGTCTTGGTCTGCATTTTGTCCTGTCTTGTAGATTTGCACTTTTCTGATGAATCTTGAAACGTGCTCTGCTTTTTTACCAATTTAAGCTACAAATTTTTGGATGATAAAAGTTGAAATGGCTCTTGCACAAAATATGAAAGTTATAATAATCGCTTGTGATGAGTGTAAAAAATTGATTACTAGAAACCCAAAACTTGTATTAGTGGGAGTCTAGTTCGAACCCATGGGAAACAGTTGAAACTCTTGATTTTCTTTATTAAATTAATAAAAAGTAAATTGAGATAGTTGAAACTATAAGTAGAACTAAAACAATAATAATAAAAATAGAAGATAAAATTAATAAACAATGAGCGAAACCAAGGACATAAAGATATTTAATCTGATTGATGATCAGTTCCTAAAGATTTAACCCTTAATTAACTATTAGGCCTAAGTTACACCGGAAGCTAGTAATAACTTGCAGATTTTTCGAATTCAACAATCAGAATGACGCACTCAAATGGTATTCTTGTTATTAAACAATCTAAGTATTGGCGGATGATGTGTCCTAATTATCATATTTTTATGTTCTTCCATCACTTTGAGTTATGCATATTTTATCTTTTAAAGTGCCACTTAATGTATGTTTTGTGATTGGATAGGTTGAAAAGCACTTGGAGTGAAAAATGTTGCCAGAGGAGTTCAATTTGGAAAGAGAAAGATAAGTTCATAAAGGCAGCAGCCAATGGGCGCAATAATGGGGCCAAATACAAGGCTCATTCTAGCTTGAAATTGATTTTAATCAAATTAACAAGTTAAGCAATGATGAGTGCCCATCTTACAACCCGTTTTAAGACGTGGCATTAGCTGAACATGTGTTTTCTCTGTTTTAATGCAACTATCTAATTATAATTGAAAACCCTACCTCTTAGCACTATAAATAAAGGATTTTAATAGATTCTAGAAGGTAGCCAAAGAAGAAGAATGGCCTGAGGCTGCTACTTTCTCATATTCTATATTCTTAAGAGTAGATTAGAATAAGTAGAACTAGAATTTGGCTATGCACAATTTTGTTTCTCTCTTGAGGACAACATCTAGCTAATTTTCTATTCAAGTTAAGGATTGAAGTATTTATTCCATGACTGTGAAATCGGGTTTGATCTTTTCAATCTTTAATTTGATATGTATGATTCCTAAATTTCTATTCTATATTGATACATTTATGGTAGAGTAACTAGTTAATTATTCTTTCTGCATGTATTCTTTGAGCCAAAATACTAATATTGATTCATAATTGTCTTGTATTAGTATTTCTATGTGACAAATAAGGTTAGCAATTGGTTGTCCTCTTTTGTGAAACCTTAGGAGGAGTCATGGTGTTGATTAAATAATTACGTGCATCAGAGGTTATTGTCATCTTTGGTTGATTCTTGGTTATTAATGCTGTTATTAGGTTTAATTTGGGATTGCATCAATACCTAAATTGTCTGATAACAAGAATACAATTTGAGTGCGTCATTTTGATTGTTGAATTTCAAGAATCTGTGACTTTCTACCGGCGTCCAGGGTAACTTAGGTATAGTTGATTAAAGGTTGGATCTTTAGGAGTTGATGATTAATCAAAATAAAGATCTTCATGTCCTTGGTTTGGATACTTATTTATTAATTTTATCTTTGGTTATTATTATTATTATTATTATTTAGTTTATTTAGAGTTTCAATTTTCTCAATTTACTTTTCATTATTTTAATAAAGAAAATCAGGAGTTTCAACTGTTCCTTGTGGGTTCGACTTGGACTCCCACTACTACAAGTGTTGGGTTTCTAGTAATTAATTTTTGACACTCGCGAGAAGTGATGAAGGCAATCCCAAATTAACCTAAGAACAACATTAATAACTAAGAATCAGCCAAAGATGACAATAATCTGTGACACACGCTGTTATTTAATCAATACCATGATTACTCCTAAAGTTTTACAAAAGGGGACAACCAAATGCTAGCCTTATTTGCCACGTAGAATACCAATACAAGACAATTACGGATCAAAATTAGTATTTTGGCATGAGGAATATATGCAGAGAGAATAACTGGGCACTTATTCTACTATACTTGTATCAACACATAATAGAAATTAAGGAATCATGGATAGCAAATTAAAGATTGAAAAAATCAAACCTTGTTTCAGAATCGTTGGAATGAAGACTTCAATCCTTGGCTTGAATAGAGAATCAGCTGAGTACTACCCTCAAAAGAGAAATAGAGTTGTTCATAACCAAATTCTAGTTCTACTTATTCTGATCTACTCTTAAGAATGCTAAATTAAAAAAAATAGTGGCCTCAGACCATTCTTCTTCTTTGGCCTTTAGAATCGACCAAAACCCTCTATTTATAGTGGTAGGAGATGGGAGTTTTAAGTTGTAACTAGATAGATGTGTTAAAACTGAGAAAATGCATGTCCAGACAATGCCGGGTCCTAAGTCGGGTTTGAA